ACCCATGCATTCTGCATTCGTATTTTTAACATGCTCAACCAGAGCAAATTTCGAACAGGTGTGGATCAACATGTTAGTATGCTAATATACTCTAAATATCGAACAGCTGGTAATGCTGCATAACCTCTCGTGATTCTTCTCCCGCAATCCGTCTTATTTCGTCGCATTCATGTCAGAAGTTCTCTTTTGCGATGAACGCTTGTTGATTAACTTGTGCTATATCAAGATTTTATCAGTGTCTGGCGTGGCTTAAAACGGTCATTTGGACAGTATTCACAGTCTTTAAATAACCATTTTCCAATGAAGGAAAAGTGTTGAGAGTCTTTGGTTCTATTCTCTCTGTCTTAATGTCATCTTGATACCCTGCTGAGCTAACGTGGCCGTATTCAACACAAGATTAAAGCATTTGAACGTGATTGTGCAAGAAAAGTTAAGAACTAGACAGGCATTTAATCGATCTGTTTGTGTTTGCTCCTCAGCTCCGATAGATTGTAGTTCTCCGACTGACACTGAAATCCTTGAGCGGTTATCTGATTGTCTGCTCTTTAGTTCAATTGCTTAATTGTCGTCTCAGGGTTAAATAAAATGCACTCTTATGACAGGATCAACCTCTGCATATTGTTTTGATTGAAAAGGAATTATCGAGTGTTGTTTTCAAACCACTGTCTTCTGCTTGCACTTCTACTCCTCTGGACCGTTATTTAAGCTGCAATGTCAGGACTTCATTGGTCTTTATTTATTCTTTACTTTCCAGGAAAGTTCTTCGAATTTCCAATGCCTTCACATTTGGAATATCTATGACTGATCTTGCACTACTCCAGTCTTATCACTCCTCACTACCTTGTCTTTTCCTACAAAACGTGACAATCGGAGCGCTTTGACGTATATTTAATGTTTTAGTTCTAAAGTCTTCGGATTTTGGTGTTTGACGCTAGCTGCGACATGCTCAAAATGTCGTAACTTGAATAATGCTGCAGACTTGTTATTGGGCACACAACTAAATTAAGGCTTTAGGTTATTATGCGGTGGCAATACTTTAAAGGCCTACTTTCTCCAACCCTAGACAGTTTTGAGGATTCCATCAATTTTCAGACGATGGCGCTGCGCAATAATGGTTGTACTAGCGGTACTGCTCAACCTAGCTATAATATTTTATTGCACTAGATGGACACTAGAGAACGTTTTGTTTGAAATCTGGTTTTCTGTTTTGATGAGTTATTCATACTACACCCCCATTTTCATTGCAAAAATGAATATCCATTATATGTAATTTCATAAGGGAAAGATTTTGGTATTCCTTCCTTGCTCCTCAAGTCGTTTATGAAAATGGTTTAGGGATGCTTATGGCGAGATAATTGTAATGTGTGCGCATATGTGAATTCCAGGGGTGGGGATCGGTCGGTGATAGCGTCACGCAGTGCCATCTCCTCGAATGCAGCGGGTTGTGGAGGATCAGGATTTGTGTGCCTTGCCTGGTCAGCTGATGGAGGCACGTTGGCCGGTCTCTCTGATCGGCTTTGCAGCTGGCGTCTCATCACCCGACCAAACACCAGTTGTGCGGTCGGTGGTAGTGGTGGAGGTTTCCACCAAGTGTTGGATCGCTCGCGTGTGATCCGCGTCTTCGATACCACTGACCGTCGCAACCGCCTTTTCGTATCCTGCGCCTCACCAGGCAGTCCTTACCTCCCTTCCACTCTCATTGTCCTCGAGGTGCACTCCGGCATATGCTTTGTCTTTGACCCTATTGAAATGATTGCTCCCCCCACCTCCAACACTATCGGTGATGGTGGTAGTGTCCCAGTAGTTGGCGTGTCAGCGCCGGCAGCGACACTTGCGGCAGCTCCTGTCACCACTATCCTGTCTGATGTAACTTCCATGCTGAACAAATCGTAGTGATTTCCCGGTGCATACCTCTCCTCTCCATGATCTTTTATTCTCTCGCGTATTTCACATGCGTGGATTTAATCCAATTTTCGCCATCATGGATTGATAAACGTGCACATACATTCACTGCACTGAGAGGTTGTCTTTTTAAAAAATGCTTCTAGAACGACAACAATGTTTTTTTGAGGTTTGGGTGGGGGAAGGGGATGGTTTAATGGTGTTAAAGTCCAACAATGCCTTTTTAATTTCACAGTTGTAAAAAGGGAAGTGGCAAATATGATTTGGTACACAGCTATGGCTGTTGAAAATGTCATGGAACGGTTCATTAGCTTTTAAGGGAGCGGACGAGTTTTAGCACTCGCATGGGGCGAAATATGGGAAATCTAGGCTTCCCGTAAACAAAGGTATAAAGTCTATGCATGCTTGCAGGCACTTCCAGGCACTACGGGGATTGGGTGCTCGTCCACGGTGAGGCATTTGGTAGGAGAGTACAAACGCTTTGCAGATGTTGATATTTCGATTTCAATAGTCTCTGATCCGATGCTTCTCTGTCAGGAGAACGGCAATGGCTCAACTACCACGTCTGAGCCTGGGCATCGAATTTCATAAAATGAGATGAATTTGCATGAAGTGCGAATCTTTGGTACAGGATCCTGGGAAGGTTTGCAACAGTGGAAAGGTAGTACGTGCTAATCATTAAAATGGATGCCTGTCCCGTTGAAGAGCTGAAACAGACAGGAAAATAGGGTGAGTTAGGTGGATGCATTCAAAGGTGAGCGCTTTTGAAACTGCTAGACTAGTTCTGTGTCTTTGGTAAAATAGGGAGTCTGGATTTAATCCCCATCCTCCCATTCAACTCCATAAAGTTTGGCAAAAGTTTATGCGAGCTCCTCCCTGAATACGTGTTCATCCCTATCAATCGTTTTAGTTCCTTAAAATCACCGACTTGTCACTTATTTCTACTACCGACGTTGGATTTACCTACCAGTAAGGATTTTTTTAAAAGTTTCTACCCCCATTGCCACTGAAAAAGCCAGCCGCTGTAGAAAGAGCGATAAGGCTGGAAGCATTCTTTTTTTCTTGGAAGACAGTCATGCATTAAAATGAGATTTATGTTCTGCCTTTAAAAAGATGCTCTCAGTAGAACGGTTCAGTGCTTACTGAAAAGAAAAAGTTGTCTTTCAACTGCACGACATTATTGACATTGCCTTATATGAGTTGTAGAACATGACGTTTGCATCCGTTACTCTAACTTACAGGGACTAGTTTTGAGCTATCTGCCCCTAATTTCGCCAAATTGCATCAACCTTCAAACTGGCATGGAACATTTTTAGCGTATGTTTGATGTTTCATGTTTAATGAAAAGCAGTCGTCAAATTATTTAGGATCACAAGCTTCGGTTTCTCTTCCCTTCCTGTATGGCAACTGGCACGAAACATGCGTGCTTATCTATACAGCCATGCTTTCATGAGAATTTTGGGAAAGAGTACACCCAGTACAAACGTTCAATGGAATGAAAAATATAGGGTATGGGTCTATTTTGCAGCAAAGTTAATGTTTAGCATTATGCAAAGACTAAGTAGTCACTGATTGAGCGCGTAATTATCAAAAGCTACTTCATGTTTGAGGTAACTCTCGTCCCTGAGTTAACTCTACCAATGCGTATTTTCGATTTAAATGATACCTCAGTTCTATTTGCTAAGCAATGTGTTTAAATTAGAACAAAGAAACGAAATGTACAGCAGTAGCATCGCACCTGGTCGCCTATGCTTGTAATAGGCAACAGGCTCTTCAAATTCCAAAAGTTGCGTCAACCGGAGCATAGACTGTTAACCTGCATTTAGGTGAACAAAAGACTCGAGACTGTTTTTTCACGTTTTGGTTTTCCGAGGTACCTAAGGTACCTAAAGCTACTAATGTT